TGATACTAGCAATAGTAAAAATGATAGTAATAAAAACCATTATGAAGAGAGTTTTCCTTCGCCACGACCGAGGTGTTGTGGTGACTTAATGATTCATAATAATGATAATAGATAATAATAATAATGATGATCATATGATGAATAATGACGATATGATGATGATAATATAATGATAATAATAATAATAATAATAATAATAATAATAATAATAATAATGATGTGGTAATGATAACGATCAAAACAATACAGTATTCAAACGATAATAGTGATACTAGCAATAGCAATAATGATAGTAATAAGCATAATTGCGAAGACGGAGGTGTTGCAGAGGCCAGCCTTCCCAGACAGCCCTCGTCACGGGTGTTGCGCCTCAGGTCAATATTGGCTCGAGTGCGTGCTTCGAGGCTCAGGCGCAAGAAGCCGTAAGTAAGATAGCGCGGTGAAGGATCGCTTGCTTGAACGCTCGCAAGCAATCCATGCTGGCGAGGGATTTATCTCTGTCGGGGAGGTGGGGGGGGGGTGAGGGGGGGAGGGGGTGAGGGTGGGTGGGGGGGGGGGGGGAGGTTGCTCTCCGGAATAGATCTTTGAGTTTATTTTTTTTCTTTTTTTAATGTCGTTTTTAATTTGTTTTTGTTTTGTTGTGTTTTTTTTTCTTTTTTTTTGTCTTTTGTTTTTTTTTTTTTTTTGTAATGTTTGTAATGGGCTTCGGTATTGTCCATTTAGTTTTTTTTTTTTTCATGTGATTTTGTGTTGCATGCATTGAGCCATTGCACTCAGGGCGTCCATTTTACCGCGCGTGCAATTTTGTCCAGGGTGGAATTTATCCCTCGGCGCGTGTTCCATTTCGGGATTTATGCGTGGATATGGTTGCAGATGCGCGATTTATGGGGCGCTGTTGGGGCGGCTCGGGAGGTCTTGGTCATATTTGCATTTGGGGGAAGCAGTTCGCAAAAAATTGGAATGTTTAAGTGGAGGTTAATGTTCGTGCAAAATCATTGTTGCAACTTTTTTTTTTTTTTTTTTTTTTTTTTTTTTTTTTTTTTTTTTTTTTAGATGAGGTGACAACTTGATGGTTTGACATGTTCAGAAAAGTGCCGAATTGGGGGTTGAAATGAGGCTGCGTTGATGCCGCTGGGCCGTGCGTGCGGATGCGTGCAAGCGGCGATTCGCGAACGGTGTACACGCGCGCGCTTGGTTGGGCGGGCATGCACATGAATGTACATGCCCATCCATCCACATACAGACAGACAACACACACACACACACACACACACACACACACACACACACACACACACACACACACACACACACACACACACACACACACACACACACACACACACACACACACCACACACACACACATACATACATACATAATACATACATACATAATACATACAGACACAGACACACGTACATACATATATACACACATACACACGCACACAACCGCGGTACCTATCAATCTATCCATCAGCCGTGCTCTTTAGATAAATATTTATTTTGATTGATTTTATCCATTGATATATTTAGCAGAACGTTCTCATGCATCTTTATTAAGATATGTTAATCAATTAATATTTTCATCTTTGTTAATCTTTAGGAATCTTCATTAATTGTATGTCTCTCTAGTTTTCTTTATTATAATCTTTATTAAGTGTATTTCTCTCATTTTATCTTTACTATAATCTTTGCTGAGCGTATTTTTCTTTTTTTTCTTTACTCTAATCTTTATTTTGTGTATTTCTCCTTTTTTTTATTATAATCTTTATTAAGTGTATTTCTCTCTTTTTTTCAGGTGAGTGTCTTGGCTATTGTTCGCGTGAGGAAGTCTGACATCGAGCGGTAAGAACTAAATAAATAGGGGGAGAGAACGAAAGAGAAGGGGAAAAGGGAGAGAGAATAAGGACAAGGGAGGAGAGAGAGAGAGAGAGAGAGAGAGAGAGAGGAATAGAGCGAGGTGAAGGAGGTTGAAATATAAACAAAAGAGAAGGAATAGAGCGAGGTGAAGGAGGTTGAAATATAAACAAAAGAGAAGGAATAGCAGGAGGAGGAGGGAAGGAAGGAGGAGAGATGCGAAGAGATAAGTGATAAGGAGAGAGATAAGACAGCGGCGGCGAGTGGTTGGGCTTTAAAAAGATGCGCGTTTGGAATTCGCTGCTTCCGCCTGTGCTGCTGCTGGAGAATGTTGATTAAAACTTGGGCGAGATTTTAGTGGTTTTGATACGTGGCTCTTCTGTGTGTGTGTCTGTCTGTCTCGTCTCTCTTTTTCTTTTTTTTTTCAGGTTTTTTCTGTTATTTTATTCGTTTATCTCTTTGTCTGTCGTGTGTATCTGTCTCTGTCTATGTATGTATGTATGTTTATCTGTCTGTTTTTCTATATATCTTTCTGTCTGTATATGTATGTGTGTACGTATGTATGTATATCCTTTCTTTAACTTATATTTATCTTCATTTATCTCCCATTTTCGTCTTCATCTTCCTGTTTCTCTACTTTTTTTTTCTTGTTTTTGGCGTCCTTCCACCTCCTCTCTCTTCACCTTCATCGCCTTCTCCTGTTTATCTCCGCATTCCAATCGCCTTGTCTTTTATCCACCGATTTTTGTCTCTCTCCCTTTCTCCTTCCTCATTCCTTCCTCATCAACCGGGTTCTCTTCATGCCTGTCAAGAGACTCAATCTGCATTTATTTCATCTCCCTTCTGTACAGACGAAGGATTCTGTAGGATTTCTCATTTTCTCTTCCTCGCCGGCGGCAGGGAAGTGAAGAGGAAACTTTGGGGATTAACGAAGAAGCTGCTCGACGGATTCTCGTTGCGTCGCGTTAGTGCCGGGGCGTTTTTCTGCGTTTTTTTTTCTGTTTTTCTGCGTTTTTTTTTTTTTTTTTTTTTTTTTTTGTTCTATGTTTGTCTCTGTTTTTTTGTGGGTGTTTTTTTTCGTTCTGATTCTGATTTTTTTTTTTTGTTCGAGTCTTTGGTGTATTTTTTTTTTCTTGTCTCTATATCATTTTGTGAGATTTTTTTTTTTGTCTGTCTCTACTTCTTTTTTCTCTCTGATCCTTTCTCTCTCTCTCTCTCTTCTCTCTCTCTCTCTCTCTCTCTCTCTCTCTCTCTCTCTCTCTCTCTCTCTCTCTCTCTCTCTCTCTCTCTCTCTCTCTCTCTCTCTCTCTCTCTCTCTCTCTCTCTCTCTCTCTCTCTCTCTCTCTCTCTCTCTCTCTCTCTCTCTCTCTCTCTCTCTCTCTCTCTCTCTCTCTCTCTCTCTCTCTCTCTCTCTCTCTCTCTCTCTCTCTCTCTCTCTCTCTCACTCTACTCTTCTTTCCTTCTATCTCTCTCCCTGGCCCCCTCTCTCTCTTTCCCCATCCCCCATCCTCCTCTGTCTCTCCCTCCTTACCTCGCTCTCTGCCAATTCTTGTATATTCTGTGCATGTTTCGCATTTTTTTATCCCTTTCCTTTTTTAAAACATCATTGCTTGTTTCCCGATGCTCAAAAATCCCATTTAAACAGTTCTTTCGTGCAGAATTCCCCCCATCCACCTCCCCCTCCCCCCCTCCCCCCTCCTCTCGGTATATTGCACACGGAAGGTCATGTCAGGTGTCGACGTCGAGTCCGCCGCCCCTTCGACGCCCATCCTCGGCAGCGAATATCGTCTATTATTTCCTTGAGTCTCTTCCAACATTGACGCGTTTGAAAAAAAAAAATATTTGCAAAATGGGGGATTGGAATTCGTCATTGTCGAAATATGCCGCCGTATTTTTGGCGATTTTGTTTATTTATTCGTTTTATTATTGTTATTTTTTCGTTTATTTTTGTTTATTTGGTTTTTATTTGCGCCAGACTTGGCCCGTACACCGCCCTGTTCGGTTCATGAATGTTGTTTATTAAGTGATTCATGAATGCGTTTATGAACTGCATTGCTCCTGCTTGGTATTCCAATTAGCGGAACAGGCAGTCAGGTTCCGAGGCCAACGGTCTTTAATGATTTAAAAATGGCAGTTATGCCAAGTGGCGGATGGCGGTTCGAGGGAGGAGGCTTTCCCGCCATTATTTCTTTAATGGCGAATTAAAACTGAAGACGGTAACTTTTTCCTCTTCTTCTTCTCGGGATTTCTTTTTTTTTTTTCTGGAGAAGGTTCTGGATGAAAAAAAAGAAAGGAAAGAGAGAAGAAAGGTCTGGTGGAGAGCTTTATGAAGTCCTTAGCGAGTTCGGGGGGAATTTTGGGTCGGGTGGTATTCGGAAATTGGGCGGACTGTGGGCGTTTTTTTTTTTTTTTTTTGGGGGGGGAGCTACTGTCGGGGTCGTCATGTAGCTGGTGCAGGGAAGAGGGTTCCCCCCCCTCCCCCTGTGGCTTCTTCAGTTTCTCGTTTCGTTTATTTTTAAGATCTTTTGTTTTTTTTCTTTTTGTTTCTTTTACTTTTGCTTCTTTTTTTTCTCTCTCTCATCTTTTATTGTTCTAAATTTACGTTTCTTTTCTTCCTCATCTCCGTCTTCTATTGTAACTACTTAATTACTTGAATTCTTGAAGAAGAAATGGGAAAGATGGGGGAGAAGAAAGAAGAAGAAAAAAGAAAAGAAAGAAAGAAAGAAAGGAAATAAGAAGGAGGATAAAAAAAACAGACACGAACATAGCAGATATGAAGAAGATATTGGACATTTCCTCTCCCATTTCCCCACGGACTCTTGCGCAAAGATCATGCAGACGAGAAGAAAAAAGGACAAGAGGCACGCAAAACCAGCCCTTACGAGAGGTCTTCCCCGCATCCGGTGTCGACTTCCGTGCATGACATGAGGCCAAGAATGTTGCGAGCAGTCACTGGTTCTCCGCGTCGGTGTTGAATGCAGGTCTTGTTCATCATCGGGAATGTCTTTAAAATTGGTCTGTTGGGTTTTTGCCTGTAATTGTACTTTTAAAGGTGGAATGTAGGATTTTGTATTTTTGGTGGAATGTAGGGATTGATTTGTACTTTTAAAGGTGGAATGTGGGATTAATTTGTACTTTTAAAGGTGAATGTAGGGATTAATTTGTGCTTTTAAAGGTGGAATGTAGGGATTAATTTGTACTTTTAAAGGTGGAATGTAGGGATTAATTTGTGCTTTTAAAGGTGGAATGTAGGGATTAATTTGTACTTTTAAAGGTGGAATGTAGGGATTAATTTGTACTTTTAAAGGTGGAATGTAGGGTTAATTTGTACCTTTTAAAGGTGGAATGTAGGGATTGATTTGTACTTTTTAAAGGTGGAATGTTAGGGATTAATTTTGTACTTTTAAAAGTGGAATGTAGGGATGATTTGTACTTTTAAAAGTGGGATGTTAGGGATTGATTTGTACTTTTAAAGGTGGATGTAGGGATTAATTTGTACTTTTAAAGGTGGAATGTAGGGAAATGTGATTTTGTACTTTTAAAGGTGGAATGTAGGGATTAATTTGTACTTTTAAAGGTGGATGTAGGGATTAATTTGTACTTTTTAAAGGTGGAATGTAGGGATTAATTTTGTATTTTAAAGGTGGATGTAGGGATTAATTTTGTACTTTTAAGGTGGAAAAGTAGGGATAATTTGTACTTTTGAAGGTGGAATGTAGGGATTAATTTGTATTTTTAAAAGTGGAATGTAGGGATTAATTTTGTACTTTTTAAAGGTGGAATGTAGGGATTAATTTGTACTTTTGAAGGTGGAATGTAGGAATTAATTTGTACTTTTAAAGGTGGAATGTAGGGATTAATTTTAAGCTTTTGAAGGTGGAATGTAGGGATTAATTTGTACTTTTTAAGGTGGAATGTTAGGGATTAATTTGTACTTTTGAAGGGTGGAATGTAGGGATTGAATTTTGTACTTTTGAAGGTGGAATGTAGGGATTAATTTGTACTTTTAAAGGTGAATGTACTACTTTTAAAGGTGGAATGTAGGGATTTGTACTTTTAAAGGGGTGGGAATGTAGGGATTAATTTGTACTTTTTTAAAGGTGGGAATGTAGGGATTAATTATTTGTACTTTTAAAGGTGGATATGTAGGATTAATTTTGTACTTTTTAAAGGTTGGAATGTAGGGATTAATTCTGTATTTTTAAAGGTGGGAATGTAGGGATTAATTTGTACCGGTACTTTAAAAGGTGGAATGTAGGATTTATTTTGTATTTTTAATGTAGGGGTGGAAGGTTGTAGGGATTAATTTTACTTTTTAAAGGTGGAATGTAGGGATTAATTTTTTACTTTTAAATGGTGGAATGTAGGGATTCATTTGTACTTCTTAAAGGGTGGAATGTAGGGATTGATTTGTACTTTTAAAGGTGGAATGTAGGGTTAATTTGTACTTTTAAGGGTGGAATGTAGGGATTCATTTATACTTTTAAAGTTGGAATGTAGGGATTAAATTTGTATTTTTTAAAGTGTGGAATGTGGGATTAATTTGTGCTTTTAAAGGTGAATTGTAGGGGAATTCATTTATACTTTTAAAGGTGGAATGTAGGGATTCATTGTTGCTTTTTAAAGGTGGAATGTTAGGGATTAATTTGTGCTTTTAAAAGGTGGAATTGTAGGGATTCATTTTGTACTTTTAAAGGTGGAATGTAGGGATTAATTTGTACTTTTTAAAGGTGGAATGTAGGGGGACTTCATTTTGTACTTTTAAAGGGTGGAATGTAGGGATTAATTTGTGCTTTTAAGGTGGAATGTAGGGATTAATTTGTACTTTTAAACGGTGAATGTGGGATTAATTTGTACTTTAAAGGTGGAATGTAGGGATTGATTTGTACTGTTTAAAGGTGGAATTGTAGGGATTTTCATTTGTACTTTTAAAAGTGGAATGTAGGGATTGATTTGTACTTTTGAAAGGATTTGGTAAAAGTGGAATGTACGGATTATTTGTACTTTTAAAGGTGGATGTAGGGATTAATTTACTTTTTAAAGGTGGAAATGTAGGGATTCATTTGTACTTTTTAGGTGGAATGTAGGGAATTTGTACTTTTAAAGGTGGAATGTAGGGATTAATTTGTGCTTTTAAAGGTGGAATGTAGGGATTAATTTGTACTTTTGAAGGTGGAATGTAGGGATTAATTTGGCTTTAAAGGTGGATGTAGGGATTAATTTGTACTTTTAAAGGTGGAATGTAGGGATTAATTTGTACTTTTAAAATGTGGAATGTAAGGGATTAATTTGTGCTTTTAAGGTGGAATGTAGGATTAATTTGTACTTTTAAAGGGGAATGTAGGGATAAATTTGTGCTTTTAAAGGTGGAATGTAGGGATTAATTTGTACTTTTAAAGGTGGAATGTAGGGATTAATTTGTGCTTTTAAAGGTGGAATGTAGGGATTAATTTGTGCTTTTAAAGGTGGAATGTAGGGATTAATTTGTTGCTTTTTAAAGGTTGAATGTGGATTAATTTGTACTTTTTTGAAGGTGGAATGTAGGGGATTAATTGTGCTTTTAAAGGGTGGAATGTGGGATTTTTGTACTTTTAAAGGTGGAATGTAGGGATTTTTGTACAATGTAGGATTTGTACAGGCTGGAATGTAGGATTAATTTGTAAAGGTGGAATTTGTAGGGAATTAATTCTGTACTTTTTAAGGGAATGTAGGGATTGATTTTGTACTTTTGAAGGTGGAATGTAGGGAATTAAATTTGTACTTTTAAAGGTGGATGTAGGGATTAATTTGTACTTTTAAAGGTGGAATGTAGGGATTAATTTGTACTTTTAAAGGTGGAATGTAGGGATTAATTTGTACTTTTAAAGGTGGGAATGTAGGGATTAATTTGTATTTTAAAGGTGGAATTAGGGATTAATTTGACTTTTAAAGGTGGAAAGTAGGGATTAATTTTGTACTTATTAAAGGTGGAATGTAGGGATTAATTTGTACTTTTACAATTGATTTTTTTGTACTTTTGAAGGTGGAATGTAGGGATTAATTTGTACTTTTAAAGGTGGAATGTAGGATTTGTACTGTTTAAAGGTGGAATGTAGGGATTAATTTGTACTTTTTTAAAGGTGGAATGTTAGGATTAATTTGTACTTTTAAAACGAATGTAGGGATTTAATTTGTATTTTTTTAAAGGTGGAATGTAGGGATTAATTTGTACTTTTAAAGGTGGAATGTAGGAATTAATTTGTACTTTTAAAGGTGGAATGTAGGGATTAATTTTGTACTTTTGAAGGTGGAATGTAGGGATTAATTTGTGCTTTTAAAGGTGGAATGTAGGGATTAATTTGTACTTTTAAAGGTGGAATGTAGGGTGATTTTGTATGTGGAAAGGGATTTTAAAAATGACATGTAGGATTTTTTGCTTTAGGGGCTTGATAAGGGAGTTAATTCTGTAGAATGTAGGAAATTATTTGTAAAGGTGGAATGTAGGGATTAATTTGTACTTTTAACGTTGGAATGTAGGAGTAGATTTGTACTTTTAAAAGATGGTATATAAAAATTAATTTGTGCCTTTGAAAATGGAATGTAGGAATTTATACTGGCATGGGAGTTAATTTTTGGGGTAATCATAATTTTAGAAAGTGGTATTTTGGATCAGAAAGTGGTATGTAGGAATTTTATTCTAATATGGGAGTTAATTCTTGCCTGTTATCGCAAGGCTTCTCCTTTTTATTCGTAGATAAGTTGTTGGTTGTCAATTTCACGGGTTGATTAATGACGTCATCGGGTAATTGAGATTGAGAAGGCCAGTGGATATAACACGTGGATCTGCAACGAAGCGTAAGGGAGTAAATAAGGATCGTGTTGCTGACGTGTTTGCTTGTCTGTCTCGCTGGGCGGCGGCGGTCGGCGGTGGCAGGCGGTGAGTTATGGGTCTGTCGGAGGCGAAGGAAGACCTGCCCGTCTCTCACCTTCGGGGCCTCGGGTCGGAGGTCGAGGTCGGGACTACTTTCTTTTAAAAAAATTGTTTGTTGTTTTTCCTTTTTCTTTTTTTTTTTTTTTTTTGATTTTTCTGTTTTTCGTCTTTTTCTTCTCCTTTCCTTCTTTTTCCTTTTTCTTCTTTTCTTTTCTTCTCTTTCTTGATCTTATTCCTTTTATTCTTCGTCTTTTTTTCCTTCTTTACTTCTTCTTTTCTTCTTCTACTACTTTTTTGCTTCTCCTTCCTTTTTAATCAGCGGGGGGACTATTTTTCTTTTCTTTATCTTCTTCCTTTTATTCTTCTTCTCCGTCTTTTTATTCTTTTCTTCTTCTTTTCTTCTACTTTTCCTGCTTCTCCTTTCTTTTTAAATCAACGGGGGACTATTTTTTTTTCTTTATCTTCTTCATTTTATCTTTTCTTCTTCTTCTCTCTTTCTTTATTCTTCTTCTCCGTCTTCTTTTTTATTCTTCTTCTCCGTCTTCTTTTTATTCTTTTCTTCTTCTTTTCTTCTACTTTCCTGCTTCTCCTTCCTTTTTAATCAGCGGGGGACTATTTTTCTTTTCTTTATCTTCTTCCTTTTATTCTTCTTCTCCGTCTTCTTTTTCTTCTTCTTTTCTTCTTCTTTTCTTCTACTTTCCTGCTTCTCCTTCCTTTTTAATCAGCGGGGGACTATTTTTCTTTTCTTTATCTTCTTCTTTTATTCTTCTTCCTCCGTCTTCTTTTTATTCTTCTTCTCCGTCTTCTTTTTATTCTTTTCTTCTTCTTTTCTTCTACTTTCCTGCTTCTCCTTCCTTTTTAATCAGCGGGGGGACTATTTTTCTTTTCTTTATCTTCTTCCTTTTATTCTTCTTCTCCGTCTTCTTTTTCTTCTTCTTCTCTTTTATTCTTCTTCTCCGTCTTTATTCTTTATTCTTCTTTTCTTCTACTTTCCTGCTTCTCCTTCCTTTTTAATCAGCGGGGGGACTATTTTTCTTTTCTTTATCTTCTTCATTTTATTCTTCTTTCTCCGTCTTCTTTTTATTCTTCTTCTCCGTCTTCTTTTTATTCTTTTCTTCTTCTTTTCTTCTACTTTCCTGCTTCTCCTTCCTTTTTAATCAGCGGGGGGACTATTTTTCTTTTCTTTATCTTCTTCCTTTTATTCTTCTTCTCTTCTTCTCCGTCTTCTTTTTATTCTTCTTCTTTTCTTCTACTTTCCTGCTTCTCCTTCCTTTTTAATCAGCGGGGGACTATTTTTCTTTCTTATCTTCTTCTTTTATTCTTCTTCTCCTTCTTTTCTTTCTTCTTTTCTTCTTTTTTCTTCTACTTTTCCTGCTTCTCCTTCCTTTAATCAGCGGGGGACTATTTTTCTTTTCTTTATTCTTCTTCTTTTATTCTTCTTTCTCGTCTTCTTTTTATTCTTCTTCTCCGTCTTCTTTTTTATCTTTTCTCTTCTTTTCTTCTACTTTCCTGCTTCTCCTTCCTTTTTAATCAGCGGGGGACTATTTTTCTTTTTCTTTATCTTCTTCCTTTTTACTTCTTCTTCTCCTTCTTCTCCGTCTTCTTTTCTTCTTCCTTCCTACCGTCTTTTTATTCTTTTCTTCTTCTTTTCTTCTACTTTCCTGCTTCTCCTTCCTTTTTAATCAGCGGGGGGACTATTTTTCTTTTCTTTATCTTCTTCATTTTATTCTTCTTCTCCGTCTTCTTTTTAATCTTCTTCTCCGTCTTCTTTTTATTCTTTTCTTCTTCTTTTCTTCTACTTTCCTGCTTCTCCTTTCCTTTTTAATCAGCGGGGGGACTATTTTTCTTTTTTATCTTCTTATATACCTTTTATTCTCTTCTCCGCTTCTTTTTCTTCTTCTTTCTTCTTCTTTCTTCTACTTTTCCTGCTTCTCCTTCCTTTTTAATCAGCGGGGGACTATTTTCTTTTTCTTTCTTCTTCTTTTATTCTTCTTCTCCGTCTTCTTTTTTATCTCTTCTTCTCTCCGTCTTCTTTTTATTTTCTTTTCTTTGCTTCTTTTCTTCCTACTTTCCTGCGTCTCCTTCCTTTTTAATCAGACGGGGGGAAATAGCAGGGATTATATTTTAATTCAGATTCGCAGATAGGAGCTGGTTGTAAATTCCCCGGATGATTGAATGACGTCCATCGGGTAATTAAAGGCCAAGAAATAAGCTTCCATCCCGGGCGCGGGGCGGAAGGGGGGGCGGAGGGGGGGGGGCGGATGATCCCGGCCCCTGGGTGAAGATGCTGGGGCCGTGCGGGGGGAAGGGGGGGGGGGGGGTAGCGGGTGTCCGGGGGGAGGGGGGGAGGGGGGGGGAGGAAGGCGAATGTTGTCACCCCGCGGGGTTATTATCGTTGATTTAATATGCCCTGGTGATGTTTTACGGGCAGTAAGGTGTTGGATTTTCGGGTCGTCGCCCTTTCTTTCTTTCTCTTCTCTCTCGTTCTTTCTCTTGTTTCTTCTCTCTTTCTCGTTTCTTTCTTTTCTTTCTCTCTTTTCTGCTCTCTCTCTTGTTTCTCTCTCTCTCTCTCTCTTTGTTCTCTCTCCGTGTCCTCTTTCTGTTTTTTCTCTCTCTTTCTATTTTCTCTCACTGCTCTCTCTCTCTCACTCTTCCCCCAATTATGCGCCTGGCAAGAACGCGCTGGATACCTAATTAATAACACCCCCATCCCACCACCCCCTACCCCACATTCCTAGATCGCTGGATACCAATTCATAAACACCCCCCCCCCCCCACCTCCATCCCTGGATTAAACGCCTGGCAACAGCCGTCTTGGATATCCATTGATTAACGCCCCCAACCCACCCCACCCCCCCCGCCCCGCCCCACCCCGCCCCGCCCCGCCCCACCCCCGCCCCGCCCCGCCCCCCCCCGTGTGTGTGTGGCAATGAACTGCAGCGGGAGGTTGCTTACCGGCGATTAAGAAGGCGGCTGTGGGGGCGAAGACGTCGTTCGTTATCGGATTAATGCAAGCCGCCCCCCCCTACCCACCCACCCACTCCACCCCCCTTCGCTCACCCCGCGATTAAGTTGTCTGTCGTTCCATTGGTGGGCATTGTGGTGGGCGGATTGTGGTGGGCCGGGATTGTGGTGGGCGTGATTGTGTGGGGGGGGGGGGGGGGGGAATACGACGAATTCTGATGCGGGCGATTCGGATTCTGATGCGGGTGCGAATGGGCGGCGGCTGTGGGCGTTCTTCGTGGGCGTCTTGTTTGTTTGTTTTGTAGTTTTGGGTCTCGTGTTGGTGGTTGGGTGAGGGTGGGTGAGGAGGGGTAGGGGCGGTGGGTGTGTGGAGGGGTTGGAGGGAGAGAGGGGGCGAAGGGGAAAGAGGGAAGGTGGGGGAGAGGAGGGACAGACGGGCAGACAGACAGACAGACAGGCAGAGTGAGAGAGATAAGGAGACAGGCAGATAGAACAGACCGACAGAAGGCAGGCAGACCGGGCAAACAATAGAGAGTGAGTAAGATCAAGATAGCGAGAGAGGGGGACTGAGGAAGGAATATATATATATATATAATATATATATATATATATATATATATATATATATATATATATATATATATATTGTATATATGTATGTATGCATTTAAACATATTTTTTATTATATAGGTAGATGATTGAGAGAGAGAGAGAGAGAGAGAGAGAGAGAGAGAGAGAGAGAGAGAGAGAGAGAGAGAGAGAGAGAGAGAGAGTAGAAGAGAAGAGAGAGAGAGGGAATTAATAAGAAAAGACTGAGGACAGATTAAGATTTAGAAACGAAGAGGACACACCAAGAGGGAGAGAGAGGAAACGAGCCGGGAACAGAGAAAAGGGAGAGAGAATTGATCGGCGAAGGAGAGGAAGAATAAATAATCCAATAGAAGGGCAGAAGCGCCGTAATGGATCACTGAAGGGCCGAAAGGGTGAAAGTGAAAGGGTGCAGAGGGAAGGGAAATTAAGGCAGCTGGAGAGACGCGAACGGGGGAATAGCTGCGAATATGGAAGGCAGATGAGGAGAGAGATGAAGAGAGAGAGGAGAGAGAGAGAGAGAGAGAGAGAGAGAGAGAGAGAGAGGAGAGAGAGAAGAGAGAGAGAGAGAGAGAGAGGAGAGAGAGAGAGAGAGAGAGAGAGAGAGAGAGAAGAGAGAGAGAGAGAGAGAGAGAGAGAGAGAGAGAGAGAGAGAGAGAGAGAGAGAGAGAGAGAGAAGAGAGAGGAGAGAGAGAGAGAGGGAGAGGGGAAGAGAGAGAGATAGGAATTATGGAGAAGGAGGGTGAGAGAGTGAGAGAAGGAAAAAAGAGAGAGAGAGGGAAGAAGAGAGGAAGGAGAGAGAGAATAGGGAAAAATGAGGAGGAGGAGAGGAGAGAAGAGAGAAGAT